TTTTGCTGTGCTCAGAGTAGCATTGCCAAATATGTTCCACTTTGTTTTGAAGAATTATTTAACATCAATGTGTGGGTGGAGTATATTTTTGTGTGATATGTGTTTATGGTCAGGTGTAACTGTTTTTAAACTACAAAGCATGAAGCTGTGAATAATTTCCGGTAGCTTTATCTACAGTCCCCTTGTGTACCTATGTTGACCATGGAACTCCAAGTTATTTATGCTGTGTTAAGAAATTCTGCCCCCTTCCTTTCCGGAGCAATAAATAATATAAAATTAGAAAGTCCTTTTTTAGTAGTCTTGGCATTTGATTCCATTTGAAAAAAAGAAGTGAGAATAACCATGTCAACCACTGATGTACAAAATAGCACCAAGATGCAAAGATTATATTTCAAAGTATTCGCGAAGGCTTTCACGGCCGGGATCTAATGGTTGTTGTGGGTTTTTCGGGCTCTCTGGCCATGTTCTGAAGGTTGTTCTTCCTAACATTTTGCCAGTCTCTGTGGGCTGGCATCTTCAGAGGACAGCACTGACCAGAGCACAGAGTGCTGTCCTCTGAAGATGCCGGCCACAGAGACTGGCGAAACGTTAGGAAGAACAACCTTCAGAACACGGCCAAAGAGCCTGAAAAACCCACAACAACCATTATATTTCACACTTTAAAGAATCATCACACATGCTGAACAAATATATAAAAACATTTCTCTGAATAAAATATTTTTCCTTTTACAAAAATCTTATGCAAATGAATTTCTGATGGTCCAAGATGGATGTAACTAATCCATGAGTTTTTGAAGCCAAATCTGCTTCCTCAGGCCAGTGTACTGCAGAGCCAGAGTCTGAGAGTTCAATTCCCTGCTATGCCTCCTTGATGGGGGCTGGACTCAGTGATCCATAGGATTCCTTCCAGCCATGCAGTTCTAAGGTTATTATTCTAAAACTATTATCCTATAGTTGGTGAAACAGCCAAAGCTGGTAAAAGAGTTGGAACATCTCTAGCCAAACCTCCAGCTAACAGGAATTGCATCTTGGCTGCTATAAGCTTCTGTTTATTTGTCCTCATCAAGGCCACAACTGTCTTCAGATATTAATTTCAGAGTTTCCACAATCGACCTCGATTCAGAAGGAGAGGTGCATGTGGTCAACAGTACCAATGATATTTCAGCAGAAGCTAAACTCTGCATTACCTCTCCCAGCTACATGGTGGAGATGTTGAAGAACATATGGGGCAAGCTGGAGGTTTTTTTTTGCCGGGGGGGATTCTGTAAATTAAAAGGCATAGGGTGGAGCAATAGTCCCATAGCAACACCTGCTTTGAGCAAAATTCTGCTATATGGCACTTTCAGAGCCATGATAGAACAGTTTTCCTAATCCCATTGACGTTGTTTTACTCCCTGTCACTTTTGGTTATCACTGTTGATGCTGTCAAAAAGGACTGAAAAGTTCAGGGGACTCAGCAGTGTCGTACTTCTCTCATCCATCTTGCAATGTTGGGCATCTACCAAAGCCTTCCCAACAGAAAACCCTTGACGATCTTTTTCTTACTCTGTTCTTTATTTTTATTTACGTTTCAGCTGTAATGTCTTAAAATTACATTGTTGTTTTTATTGTAAGCCGCCTAGAGTGGTCTAATATGATCAGATAGGCGGGATAGAAATAAAATAAATAAATAAATAAATAAAGCCATTTCAGTTCCAAGACAAGAGCCCTGATTCCCAGCTTTAGGTCTCCAGGTGCTTTTGAAGAGACCCTTGTCCAGCAGGCCGAGGCAAAGAGGAAATCACAAAAGCAGCAAAATCAGGGAGCTGGACAGGGGACAGATTGGATTTGTCCTCAGTGTGGAAGGAATTGTCACGCTTGAATCGGCCTTCTCAGCCACACTAGACGTTGTTCCAAGTCCTCCATACAGAGCACGTTACCATAGTCTTTCGAGACTGAAGGTTGACTAACAGGTCTCCAGGTGCTATTTGACACCTTGCTTCTTCACTACTGGCCGTGTTAGCTACGGATTCCGCTGTTTGAAGTTTGGCAACATCTGAAGACTCAGGTCTGAGAACCTGTGATATAAATAAATAATTACACTTTTCACATTTTACTTATGTTCTTTAGATTACCAGATGAATCTGAAACAATGGGAGCTAATATTTGTTCACATAAAACTTTGTTGCTATGTACCATCAAGTTGGAACTGTGACCAGAATAGGGTTTTCAAGGTGAGTGAGGTATTTAAGGAGTGATTTTACCACTTCCACACACACACACACACACGGCCATGAATGTCCATGGCTAAATGGGGATCCTGAGTCCTAGTCTCTCATTCTGTCCACTACCCCACACTGGGTAAAGATAAAATTTAGAGGATTTAAATTCTCTCACTATATAATAACAGATTAACATTTCCAGTTCTTCTGTTAATGTACTAGCCTCGTGGCTTTCTGGTATGCTATCTGGATTTTACTATTTGTGGTGTCTGTACTGCATTTATACTGTTTGTACTGCATCTTTAAGCTAAATCTTTATCCTTTGAAAGTAACAAGTCAAACATGACATCATACTACGTTATTGGGGAGAGCTGAGAAGTAGCCAGAGTTTTGATGCTCGTTTGGAAGGCATTGTTAACTGTTAATTTGACATTGTGGACACGGAAGATAGAAATAACACTTCATATAAACACCATAGAGATGTGGTAGCTGTAATCAAAGGCACAGTGCCTCCTTTTTATGCTTGCAAACTGGGGCTCCAATTATGTCCACTGCTCTGAAGCTGAATAGAGTTGCCTTGCCACACTTTCCAAATTGAGAGAGGAGAGGCAGCGGCAGTCTCTTCTAAGGCACTGTTCCAAATAATAATTAAGGGGAGAAATCAGATAAAAGACCCAACATGAAGATTTATGGAGTTGAAAACATACTGTCAAAAATGGTGTTGTTGCTATTGTCATTATGACAAAAGTAGATTTTATTTGCATTCATCTTTCCTCCCAGCTCATGGGAGTTAGACTCTTTTTTTTACTGTTTTGCATTCGTTAGGTACAAAATTAATAGCTATCTGCCTTTCTTTGTTACATCAAGTGCACCGAGATGTTTTGAACAAAACAGCATGTAAATAATATTCAATGCCAAACATGGGCATTAATATCCCATTAATATAGTTTTTTAATGCAAAAATGAGTAAAAGTTAGTACATCCCTAAAAAATCCTATATCATTTTTTCCTGGTCTTCTCAGAAATTTGAACAGACTAAATAAAAGATTCCTTTACCTTTTCAGAGAGAAAACATATATTCAGAGTTAACCGAGTTAGGGGGGAGGGAAAGTGTGAATTAATACTTGTTCCTTTTATATCTACATTCTTTTTCAGCACAGAAGTAAATTTTCCGACATGTCACTATGTCAGCAGATTGTATTTAAGGTTGGGGAGGAGGAGATATATGTAATATGTAGAAACGAATCTGATTAAATATTCCTTTGTTGTAAATTATTCTGACTGCTGTCTTGAAGTACATGTGGTCTTGATGTGGTTGTTCCGTTTGTGGAGTTTATGTTTAATCAAAACTGTCTTTAGCCTTCTCAACACAACTTGCAATTCCACAAGCATATATTATTTCATGGCTGGCATTTACAGTCTTTCCGCTCACAGAATGAGACTCATTACAGTGTATGAATACCTGTTACAGTGTGGGTATTATCCCAGTTATCTGACACTTTGCTTGTTTCTGCTGTATGTTCTAGATGACACATATAAAATAAAATTGCTCTATTTATTGCATGTTAACATAAGTAAAATTGTTCTTTTCATAAATCTAATCTGATAAAGTTGTTGGATTATTTAAAAGCAAAACTTTGTGTGTCCTTTCAAAGACACTGCAAAAATCATTTGACAGATATTAAGTTATCTATGCATAAGAAGAGGCATGCTAGATCAGAGTGCATGTTTGAGGTTGCAGTCCTGAGCATACTTACCTGGATATAAAGCCATTTGCAGCTGGGCTTAAATTTAAATAACATGTGTAATATTTTGTTGTTATTGAATAATCCTCTTCTGCCTTGAAGTACTAATGTCTGTGGATGTTTTCTGAAAACATCAGAGTTAATTATAGGGACTATGTCCAGAACAAAGTAGGCTAAATTGCATTGGCATGATGGACAGGGAAGTTCTAAAGCTCTTGAAACGAAATTATAAAAGGAAGTAATCATAATTATGCTGTATATAAATGTATAGGTTTAGAAGCTGTATGTTAACTCCGTAGCAGACATAGCTGCTTTGCTCTTTTCTGGGTTTATTTCAATGTTGGTTATATCCCCCACCCCCACCCTAAATTTTTCATAATTTTTTCTTGTTTCCATCCTTAAGTGTTGCTCTCCCTCCTAATGTATGAATATTTTTAGCAAAGGGACAGTGAACAGGGTACAGACAAACCATTACAGTGTAGAGGAGGAGATGACACCTTTGCCCTTGCCATCTTCCACAACCATCATGTTGCATTTGAGTCTTGTTTGAATGCCTTTTAAGGAGCAGACATCACGAATCAGAAGCAGGGTACTTGTAGCATCACTTAATTCAAAAGGCAAAAGGGGATGGATCACAATCAAACAAGGGCTAATGAGAACACAGAGGGACATGACAATTGAGAGTCTCCGTTGAGTAGCGAACTAAGTCCGCCGGCTGGACCCAATTGTCTGCAGAAGAATTGAATGTCAGGATCATTTAGGGTTAACAATGGTCCAATACAAGCAAAAGCAGACAGCTATGAAAAATAGCCGGCATGGTAGCCATTCTGTAGAGAGCAGGGATACAAACTTGATAATGAGGCACTGCATTCACCATATCCTTCTGCTCTAATTACTAAGGTGAATAGGAAATACTTAATCTAAGGCGGGAA